TATTAATAAATAAATGACGAAGCAATCTAAATATGTCAACACATAGACAATATAATTGACAATACCAAACACAAATAAACATAAATAGGTAAAAGAACGAAATACATATAGCAGACACCATCATAAAATCTTAAAGCTTAATTTCACAGTATTATGCAATGAGATATGCTTGGTACAAAAGTATACAGTAAACTGAGTGGGTATTTCAGACCTATAAAGTGTCAAAGATGGGCAACATCCGCCTCCCATGGGGAGAGGCTTTTCAAAAGAATTTTCAAAATAATCATACGAGGAAAACACCATCAGTATCCATAAATGTTTTTATGAAGTAAAAATCATTTTGGACAAATCGGGTGATTTTTTTCATAGTTTTAATAGGGGAAAATATATAGGAAACACTAAACACTAAGTTTGAATCGACAATATTGCTTTATTTAAAACAATGTATGAACTGTTTGTTAATATTTTATGTTAGTCCCCCATGTGGCACATGGTAAGAGCAATTGTTCTAGAGTAGCGGAGATATTCTAAAATATAAATTATAATGTGAAACCTGCCCTAACGCTTCTTAAAGTTTTATCATGGTCTGAAATGACTGAAGCAACAAGCACACACACAATCAATATCTTTACATTTGAAAAAATAAAACCACAGGATATTGAACAATAATCTCTCTTAAAGATCCATTTAAACAATACAAATTGTAAGTAGAGCAACTGTCGTATGTGATCCTTGTCATGATCGGGTAATCGATAAAAATTTGCGGCATAATGACCCTGAATTTGAAAATATTATCGTCAGTCAACATTCGACTTCGATTTCATGATGAAACATAAGGAGATAACAGTATTCTAGATCAAAAGTCCATTAAACAATACGAAATAAGAACAGAGCAAACACGGACCTCTAAAACATCATAGGTAGAATCAGGTGCCCTGGAGGAGTGAGCATCCCCTGCTGACAGGTCACATCCGCCGTGTGCTCCTTGTCATGATCGGGAAATAACGGGAAAATCAGTGTATAAATAATGGACTAACAATTAGTATGAAAAACGTCAGTCAGCATTTGACTCAATGATAAATTGTATTTGCTGACAAGGTCATTGTATCGACCATAGAACTTACGAAATGATGACCTTAAAAATGATAAATTGTGGTTGCAAATAAGATTAATGACCATAGATTTTGCAAAAAGTTATGTTTGAAATGGAACTGTTCTTGTGTTATCATTTAAGTTGTCAATAGCCAATCTCCTTTCAGAAATTGTTCTTCATAGAACAAACTCTTCTACTTAGCTTGACGGCATAAAAGCAAGTTTCTCTGATAATAAAAACATAAATCGTAAAAAAAGACGTTGCGACATTTTATACTAGAAAACTGGAATAATGAAAATATTTTTGTCTAAAATACTAAAAAAAAAACCCACCTATTTTCAAGGAACCAAAGTCCCGTAGTTTAAGAAAACATGTGGTTTCGCATGAATTTGATTTCGTAAAAGTAAAATTGTTAAGCAGTTATGCCTATGACTTTTTTACTTTCGTGCTGCACTTTAAATTGTTGGGTTTCTCATCTGAGCTTAACTTATCTCAAACTTTCGGAGTGTTTTAGTTTTAATATTCCACCTGACTTTGTTTTTTTTTTCTTTTTATTTCGCCATCACCCACGAGAGTTACATTGTAAGTAGGATAAATCTAAAGTCAGAAATCTGATTTTGTTTCCATCTGTATCTGACAGATTTCCAAACTACGATTAAACATTTACTTTCAAAAATTTCTCTTACAAACATCACTTTACTTTGTTGCATCACTTTACTTTGTTGCACAATTTAAATTAGAGCAAAAACGGATGATATATTTAGAAATATAAACAAAAATCCACTGAACAAAAGATTCCTTTAACACGAATCAACAAACAAATGTAAATGAAAAAAATCAATGTAAAATCTAAGAATGCTAAGGTTGTCAAAATACAAAATAAAAACTGTTGTTATACCCTTATGAATATCATTCCATATATTTATTACTAATAAAAAGTCCAACAAAAGAACTGTTAATTACTGCGGTCTAACAATTTCACTATTGACCGGTCTTACATAAGAATTGTTAGACCGCAACGTCACTCGTCTGTTACGTCACAAGTAATTAATCATCGTTCAATATCGGCGACGCGAAAATAGCCGAAGTTAAGAGCTACAAGAGTTATTGCTAACAGCACGGTTAGGAAGAAGGGAAGAGTATGTTTTGTGATGAATAATTTTTGTGATACAATAGACATATAATTGATTTTGTTCTTTCTCAGCTTGATGTTTTCAATTTACTAAAGAAGCCATAATTTTCCATAAAAATAATTGATTATATAGCGTGTATTGAATAAATTGATCAGTTTTAAGTGAGCAGTGAAGGGTATAACAAAACAGTTATTGACTGGGTATGAGGGCAACATATGATTTGTTGGACCTGAAGGTGAAAATGTTGCCCTTGGCCTGCGGCCTCGGGCAACATTTTCACCTTCAGGTCCAACAAATCATATGTTGCCCTCATACCCAGTCAATAACTGTATATTGTATCCTTGTTTTAAAATATATGTATGTAAAGCATTTGATTCTTGTCTTAATACATGGGGGTCATTTTGAAAAAAATTATTCCTTGATCATTTAGTAACACTTCTAGTATTTATCAACAAAGGTTTTTTTTGTATTTTAGTGGTATCCACCTCAGTAATTTATATTTTATTTTGAAATGGGGTTTTAGCGAACCTTATTCATTTGGCTATTTTTAATTTCATACCATTATTAATGCATGGTGCAAGCATTTATATGCAGATTATTATTTTCAAAAGAGGGGTAAACGGGTCAGGGATAATTATTATTATTAGGATAATAATTATTATTAGATAAGTTAACCAATCACGTTACACTCGGGATAACTTCCTGTATTTATATACTTTTAAGAAAGACCGAAAATTAATTTTCACTACATATTTATGCATATTCTTGTCATTAATATGCCGTTGGGAAGATATCTGATGTATTGTTTTGTATTATACCTAACAGTTGTCTTCCCTGTCTTCAGCAGTGTAAGTGATTTGAAGAATAAATATCAAATGTGTTCATATCATCTGTACTGTTTAGAATGGGAAAAAAGTTTTTCCTAGAAATAATCTTTAATGAAAATAATTTGATATCCTGAATTTTTCTATTTTTCTACAAGTTGATATCAAAGTAATCATTTTACGAAATACTATGTAACTTCTTATGTTAAACGTTCCTATATATATATCACTAGTTTTTTAATTTTTAATTGAGTAAAAGCTTTTTATTCAATAATTATTTTTTAGTACTAACAGGCTATGTAGGTAAAAGGGAAAACTCAAATATTTTGCTGTCGTATATAAAAGCTAATGAAAAAGCGTGGTTATTTTTTATGTTTACCTCATAAATTCTACCAAATTATATTAAACTATATACCTGATAATTCTCACACCCAGACGTTTTGTATTTTTAAACATCACGGAAACAGAAATGATAATTATAAAAATTACTTCATTTTTATCAGTGTTGTTGGCAATGCAAACTGATTGCTACACCTTTTCTTAATTTGCAATATATTTAGTCATATATGTTAACCAATATTTTCATTTGGTTGTATTGTAATACTTCAACAGGCGACAGATTTGTGCCAAAGCTCCCCTTGTGTCAATGGTACATGTGAAAACATAGAAAATGGATATATATGTAAATGTCAACAGGATTTCACGGGACAAAACTGCGAAACACGTAAGATTTATTTGAGACAAAGTCTTTTAAGGTTCATAAACCCTCTGCTCACTCATATAAAGTGTTGCTTGAACCTTAATGATTTTTCAAAAGAAATATTTTTATAAGTAAAGTACAAACAATTATAGCATACCTTGGGGGGCAAAATTGGACAAAAAAGACACTTAAACTTGGCAAATTTATAAAGGAATAATAGACATTTAAGTCATTTAGAGTTATCTCTCTTATCAGAGTATCGTTGATCCTTAAACATCTTACATAATATGTTTGTTTTTATTATAATTATTTATTTTAAGAAAAGCCCTTCTGTAATTCTTCTTTCGCTGAGAAATGAAGAGAATGAAACGAGCGTCCTTTCTCCTTCCAAAACCAGTTAATTTAGTGATCCAATATTGTGCAGTCTTTCACTTACGTTATGTTTGGATTTCAGAAGTGGTTATACGCAGGCATTTTTCTTTTCAAAAGTTTCAACATTTATTTCCATAACGTTGGACTTTTTTGTATACTGTAAACTAGCTCAAGAATACTATCCTTGATCTTTTTTAAGTAGATTGATTGTAGACTACTTTAAATCCTGTTCGATAATTTTTCACTCATATTGAGACTTTTTTGTGTTGTTAAATGGGAAAACAATCTACTGCATTTTTTTTTTCATTTAAGTACATTTATCATGATTTGGTAGCATTTTTATTATTCTTCGAACCCGTTATTAATAAGCGAAATTAATTTCATCATTTCATCATCAATTCAAAAATCTATGATATTTAACTTGAAAAAGAGACGCTAATAGTAATCTACTAATCGTACAATCAAGCTTTATGAAAAAGTGATGATTTTAACTTTTCAATCCTCAACTTTCCTTCTTTATGCAGTTATAACCTTCATCACCTGTATACGGAGTTTATATATCTCAGTTGATTCGATACGAAAGAGAATGCTCTACGTAAGTACAATTTCTAAAGCCAGAGACATTATTGAAAAACAGGTTGATGAAACAAGAATTTCAGCAGTCTCGTTTAAAGTCATCATTTCGTAAGTTCTATGGTGGATACAATGACCTTGTCAGCAAATACAATTTATCATTGAGTCAAATGCTGACTGACGTTTTTCATACTAATTGTAAGGCCATTATTGTCGACGGTTTCCCGTGGTTTCCCGATAAAAACCAGTAGAACAAGGTGGGTTTGACCCTTCGGCAGGGGATGTTCACTCTTCCATGTCACTTGATCCTATCTCTGATGTTTTGCTCTAATCCTTTTTTGTATTGTTAAATGGATTTTTGAGCTTGAAAACTGTTCGTTATCTCCATATATTTCATTCACACAATACTACAGAACAACTCTCCGGATGAACCTGGTGGCCTAGAAAATTTTCAAATTCATTTCCTTTCAACATCTAAATTCAGTATTTAATTTCATTGCGATATTGCTAAGTATTTTGTTTTTATATATTTTTTTTATTTTATTAACCTTTTCTTTATATGTTCATATTAATATATATTAGTCGCCGTTTATTTAGATCTCTGTAAAGGTTATCCATATTGGACGTTTTATGAGGGCGATTGCTTTGTCTGTAAAGGAGTCGAAAAAACGTGGCATCAAGCCCGAACAGATTGCCAACTGGAAGGGGCGGATCTTGTGTCTATTACAAATGCAGGCATCCAGAGCTTCGTGCAGAGTTAGTGAAGCACCTGATCTGAATTTTAAACCATACCCTCTTCTTCTGAGTGTTACAGAACCATGTCGTTAAATTGTAGGTCACTGTACAACCCAATATAACTGGATTGGACTTAACGACATACAGACAGAAAATCATTTTGTATGGCTGGATAGTTCTAATGTAGGAATTGCCTTTGGATAATTATTTAATCGTTCAAATCTTACTCAAGATATTTTTTTGCACAGAGTACCGATAATAAGATAATAAGAAAGGCCATTTTCATTTATAGGTGAGCACATTCACAAACTGGTCACCTAGTGAACCAAACGATGCGGCGGGTGAGGATTGTACCCAAACGCGTGGTGCTAGTGGTCAATGGAATGATTTGGATTGTTCGAACAATTTAACCTTTATATGTCAGAAAAGTGCAGGTAGTGACCTCACTTTAATTTTAAGCAGTATCTTTCCGTCTTTTGCAACATGAATGTTGGTTGTTTTAAATATTCTTAAAGGAATTATTATTAGTTTCAGATACTGACGAATGTTTGTCTTCACCATGTGGAAATGGTACCTGTGTTGATCTTTTCGGAACTTACAAATGCATTTGCGAAGCTGAGTTCACAGGAAACAACTGTGATAAAGGTACAGTAGATTTGTGATAACATTTTCTTTGTTACCTGATATACTAGTATAACAACGATTTGTTAAATAAGACTGTCAAATTCATGTTTATTTATTTTTCATTTATACGAAAACAAAATTGAAAAAGTGATCGAGTCATATTTTATTTGAGACATGAATGAGTGTCGGAGTTCTCCCTGTGTTCATGGATCTTGTGTAAATCTTATCAACGAATTTGAGTGCCATTGCCAACCAGGATTTACTGGCAAAAGATGTGAACACGGTACGTCATCACGATAATAATTGGTTGATTTTTTTTAAATTATGGGTCGCCTATCCTATAAAGAGAATATGATGCAAAATGCATATTCTTTAAACCAATCAATTTATTTTCGCCACTAAATATCAATTGTTTACTAAGAATCATTCATTCAATCTCTGCAAAAATAAAATCGTTATTATTATATTTTTAAGATGTGAATGAATGTCAAAGCTCCCCGTGTCGCTATGGTAACTGTACAAATTTAGTCAACAAGTATGAATGCAACTGTTACCCTGGATACAGAGGGGCTAACTGTGAAACAGGTGATTTTTTTTAAATCTTGATCAACTGTTGTTTTCTTCAGTTTGTTTATTACCACATAATAATGGGGGGGGGGGGGGGGGTAATTTAACGTGAATATCTCAGTTGATTCGATACACAAGAGCATGCTCTACGTAAGTACAATTTCTAAAGTGAGAGACATTATTGACAAACAGGTTGATGAAACAAGAATATCAGCATTTTTGTTTAAAGTCATCATTTGGTAAGTTCTTTAGTCGATGCAATGACCTTGTCAGCAAATACAATTTATCATTGAGTCAAATGCTGACTGATGTTTTTCATACTTATTGTTAGTCCATTATTTTTACACTGAATTGACGACTGATTTTTGCGTTATTTCCCGATCATGACAACAAGCACACGGCGGGTGTGGCCGGTCAACAGGGGATGCTCATTCCTCCATGGCACCTGATCCCACCTCTGAGTTTTAGAGGTCCGTATATGCTCTGCTCTTTTTTGTATTGTTTTATGGAGTTGTGATCTTGAATACTGTTCGTTATCTCCATATGCTTCATATTTGTATTGTTGGTCAGACAAATTAAACTGACTCGTTACCCAGTGACAGTGGTCTTTGAAATACAAAACTTTGAAGTCACATGAAAATGCGACTGATGTAACATCATGGTTATTTTGTGATTAATTTACCATGTTTTTATTAGTTTAGTTATTTTTTTGTAGTGTTGAATCCATTGCCATCTTTAGTTTCTTTTAAACCATACTGTAAGAGGACTTGAGAGGAATGAATATTTTTCTTGTCAAATAACAGTTTATACTACATTTAACATTTAAATAAATGATTACCAAACAGTTTAGTTTTTCACAAAACATTTCTTTTTCAGATATAGATGAATGTTCAAGTTCCCCTTGCCTCCAAGGCACTTGTATTGACCTGGCCAATGCCTATAAGTGTGTATGTCGACAAGGTTACAGTGGTACAAACTGTGAGAAAGGTAGACTTCAAATGATCCGATAAACCACGCAATGTTTCTCTATTGCCAACAAGTTTAGATTAAGAACCCTATAAACACTGCACACAATGGTTATAATTTTTGGGAGGAAATGCATATAAACTTATCTGCTCTTAAATTAACATAAAAAAGAAAAGACATACAGCAACTCCTCCTACACCACTGAATTAAATTTCATGATACTAGATTTTTAACTTATGCATATTTAATCTGCTCTTAAATCTAACATCTTTATAAAAAAGAATATAAAAAAGAATTACCAGCTTTTTTACATCTTTAACATAGTTGGAAAACTGTTAAACATATTTCAGAGTTTCTTTTTTTACCAGGACTTGAGAGGAATGAATTTTAATCTAATTAACATTTAAACATATTTATAAATTGACCAATATAAATAAATTGAACATTATAAAAAATATATTAGCCCATTTAAGGACCATCTCTACATTTATTATTGTAACATTTATTTCAAAGATTCTGAAGCTCTTCCCAGGCAATATAGGAATAAATTAAAAAATCATTAAACCTTTCAATCAAGGATTTTAGTTTGAAATTATTTATAGTATCCAATTCTGTCCTGGAACGCGTGCGATTCCTAGCTAAGTTAAATAGTATTTATTTACTTGCAATAGAACACAACTTCTCCAAAACCTTATAAAGGCACATAATACTTGTTAAGCAAGTTTTTATTCCTCACCTTCGCTGAAAACTAGTTGAAACCTTTCGACTTCAAAGACGAACTGACTAAGAACTCTGCCTCTACTTATATACCCTTTAATTATCACGTGGTGTCTGAGGATCGATAGGGTGGAAATAAAAAAAGTTCATATCATTAAGCTTCCCAAGGACAGAATGGAATAATTGATTTTGATGCAGAATTTCGCTTCATTATACTCTCCGCTTGAAAAGTGAGAGTGTATGTATAGTAATAAGGATGTCCGTCTGTCCGTTCGTCTGTACCTTTGTCTGTCCGTCATACGTATAAGTTACGCTTTTGGGTTTCTCATCTCTTATCCGCAGCTCCTCTTGTACCACTTAATAAAATTTAATGAGACTTTTAAAAAAAATTTGATACATTATACCATTGTGCATCTTTTATTTTACTTTTTGATCGGACACATATTTCCGGTTCCCCATAGCCAAACATGGACGCTACCATTCTCTCCATAATATTGCAGGGTACCAATCTCTTATCCGCAACTCTTCCTATACCACTGAATTAAATTTCATGATACTATTATACTTTTTGATCTGACATTTATTTCAGGTCACCCAGAGCAAACATGGACGTTGCCTTTATAATTAAGTGGAAGGTGGGGTATCAGTGAGCGCGGTGATCCCATGCAGTACCTCTTCTTTAATTTCGGGATTTGGATTCTTTCGTTTAGTTTAACTGACCTAGCATTTGACATAAAAAAGAGTAGTAAAAAAATTTGTTTGCTTGTATTTTCCCATCTAAGCATTTAAGAGAGATTTTTTCACTATGAAATTATCTTTGAAAATATATTTTTCTGAAATTAAAAATGAATTAGTTTTTTTCTAAAATATTCGCCTTCAAAAACATTTCTCATCAGTGTTTATATAGAGTCCTTAAGAATGATTGATTGATTGGTTGTATGGTGTTTAATGTCCTCTCGAGAATTTTTCACTCATATGGAGACCCCACCCCTCGTTGGAGGTGAGCTGCAATTTTGTCCCATACTCGGCACTTACATGTACGGCCATTGAGCAGTGATGGATCTTTCCGTCCCAGCACCTGCGACCCGGGACCTCGGTTTATACCTGTCAGTCTCTTCCGAAGGACCAGTCTCCACGTCCCACAGTGAGATTAGAAAACAAAGAGTAGTCAAGCACAGACGTCCATTGAAACAACACAACTCATGAGCAGAGCAAACACAAACCTTTAAAAATCAGAGTTTGGATCAGATTTCATGGAATAGTGAGGCAGAGCATCCCCTCCGACGGGTCAGATACGCTTCGTGCTCCTTGTAATGATGGGAATAGAATATGAAGAAATTATTTCTGTTTCAGTGCTTTCCTGTCTGCAAATTATCTTGGGGATATTAGTTAATTATCTTATTATAAAAGCTAAGAATATTTCCCCAAATTCAGTGAAGTTTTCTATGCCATTTTATTATATTGATTTATCTTAAGAGGCAAATGAATGCTAAAGTTCACCTGTCATCATGGATATTGTATAAATCTGGTCTTTTTCAGATATTGACGAGTGTTTAGGCTCCCCATGTCTACACGGTTCTTGCATCGATCAAGTCAACAACTATATAGTTGCGTTTGTCAACAGGGTTATAAAGGAATAAATTGTGAGATAGGTATCACTATTTGAACCCCTTAAAAAATATCATTGACCATGCAAGCTCTTCAATTTCCTTGCCGGGCTGAAATGGTTTTTCCACTAATTATTTCAATGCATTTATGTTCAAATTGTGAAAATGGTATATACATGTAGTGCTGTATTTTTTTATCTCATGCAATTTAAGTACGTTTCCTTTTTTTCCCTTTTTTGGGGGGGGCGGGGGGGGGGGGTATTTTCAATTAATTTCAGTGTAGGTACCATTTGTCGTGAATCATTATCAGAATTGTTCAAAATTATTTTCTGCTGATTTTATGAGAAATATATTTAAATTATGTCTTTGGAATTTTAAGCTCTTTTAGATAGAAAGTTAGAAATAAATGAAATTTATTATATTATTTTCTCCTCAGACGTAACACTTTTCGAATACTTTTACTTATCACTTGTAATAATTTGTTTGTACGTGTTTAATTTTTTTGTGTATCGTGTTTCAGATGTAAACGAGTGCCTTAGTTCTCCATGCTCTCATGGTCAATGCGTTGATAAAATCAACTCCTTTACATGTGACTGCCAGTTTGGATACGTGGGAACCTTTTGTGAGGAATGTGAGCACCTTTTGATCTACTGATTTAGACAAGTTCAATTTTTGAAGTAAAATAAAATATTTGTTCAAGAAATGCACAGGTATAAATAAATCAAATCATTTTAAATTTGCAGATAGAATCAAGTTGTGAATTTTAAAAAAATATCATATTTGCATTTCAGATTGAAAATACACGATTTTCCTGAGGTTTCACATGAGGAATCAAACCCAAAAATTTTCATCAAAAAATAAACTGACGTTATAAAGTCGTAATGACCCTATGCTTTATTGCTCACAGTTTTTGAAATCAAAAATATGAAATTTATATGAGAATTATTTTTTGAGTAATGCATATTTAAATCAGTTTAGAAAGTATAATGAAGTGTTGTGTATTTTTTTAAAATGATTAATGTTTTATCATGAAACACGAAAATAAAAAAAGTAAGAGCAATTATATATGTTATTAAAAAATAGAAATCGAAGTAAATATGAATTATATTTGGGGAAAAAATTCGAATTATATTTAGGGAGAAAATTTTTATTCTGGCAAATATTTCTGAAATGCGAAAGAATAAGAATAAAAAAGTGTGTTTATATTTAAATATTAAATAAAAAGTAGGAAACACCTGTTCAATAATCTCCCTTTTAAATTTATGAATTAAATTTTCTTTAAAAATTAGGTAATTGGAAAAACAAGAAATAAGTTTACGTTTGTAAGTTTGTAAGTCAATCACACAGTCACAGACACTTCTGCTGTGGCTCCAAACTATAGTCAATCAATCCATAAACATCTTACTGTGTACTTGACAAACTATTCTGATATCAGTAAGCGATATATACAGCGAAAACAATGATTTTTTTATTGACTGTCGTTACACTTGTATTAAAAATGTGAAGTTATACGTGCTTCTCTCCTGATTTGTGTTGTTTGAATGGACTTTTGAGCTGAAAAACTTATTATTTATTTCACACAAAATATTTCAAAGACGTATAATGTCTATAGAATAGACTTTAATTTTCCAATTGGCAACTTCCCTTACTTTTGAAGCAACATACTATTGTCTCTTGCAATTGTCTCTTGCATTTGGAGTTTTTGTCTCTTACTTGATTCGATGCGCAATAGATGCTCTACCTACAAACAATTTATTTCAGAAATAAGGTATCATTTTTTAAACATCTATCGGGATATAAATACGAATTGATCACGTGATCAAATTCACCAGCCTTCAAAGGATTATATCACGTGATCGACCCGTTTCAATTCCCATTTGTTATTTATCTCTTAAATATAAAATGAGGTGAGCTACTATCAAATCAGTTGATGATACATTGATAACCGTAACATGATTTAAGCATGTGGGGATATTCAATGAAATGTTTTAAGCTCAACTCCCAACAAATTTGGTCTCCGGCGTATACTAGTATTGACTCCTTGGAACACTAATTGTGGGATCAGGTCCCTTGGAGTGGGAAGCATTCACTGTTATGCAAGATTTAAGGTTGTTTCCAAAGAACGAAAAACTTGTGCTATAAAATTTCTGCTAAGCCCTGTCTTTCCAGCTTGTTTGTGTAAACAGGTGTTGTGCATTGTTTCTGTTGTCATTAGAACGATTAATCCGCGTAATCTGCAGATGTGTTTTATGGTTTAAATTAGAGTTAATATATATTATTCATAAACGTTATCGATTTCAATACATATAATCAATACAATATATCGAATTATTTTAGTAAATTTAAATCTTGGATTCATAACTATTACTGGCAAATAAATACTCAACCTCAAATATTTCACATTTTATTCTATCATCAAGGTTTTTCAGTTTATTATTCATGCACAGAACAGAAAAAGAGAACAACATAATTTCTAAACAATGCAAAATGCCATGGTTTAGCTGGAAAAGTTCTTACATAAACGATATCTTAATTTGAGATAAAAGATTAGATTAATCATAAACTATATGATACCAGATAAAATTATACCAATTTCAAATAAAAGAATTATAAAAGATACAATGATATCGACTATATGTCATTTAACGCATTGCATGCGCACGCACGTGCATTCACATGGAAGATGAACATGACATGTTGTCTAAACCATTAACATAACTTTATATCGTGAGAATCAATAAAAAATCATTAGAATATAAATGTTACCGTTTTTCAAATATATTGGTCATTTTGCGGATTTCGCGCACCCGCGTGCATACAAGCATGTCCTTGCATTCAAATATGATAGTAGCATAATGTAGGAATCCATTATACCTATTCATAATTTATGCAGAATTTCATCCCCTTTTGTTGAGAACTTAGAAAGTTATAGACATATAAAGTTTCAGCAAATCAGATTGCAGCATACGTGCATGCGCATGCTTTCAGGATAATTCTTATGTATCATATTCTAGATCTTTATAGTGTTTGATTATGTTTAAAATTTCAAACTTCGTTTGGGGAACACTAAAAAGAAAGGAAACAAAACAAAAAGAGCATGAAACATCGAAGGCAAGGGAGATAATGAATACTGGCAGTATATACCTACAGATAATATAAACCCTATACTTACCATACTAAAAGTGACACCTCAATGAGGCGCAATAACTTAATATTTTAAGAAATCAAAGATTACTATAATCCCTACAACTAACATCAATCCGCAGACACCGAAGTAGCCGACATCTTAGCAGACGGTCGCGGGTTTTGGGCGCAGGACAATTTTTCGTTTTGTTGATGATAGTTCTGTCTTGTTTAGAGATAGTTTAGACAGGCGTTCGTTCAAAATCTCCATCGATGCTGGCGTTACTCTCTTGCACAAGCATTTACACAGGGGTTCTCTTCTTTGTATGTGGTTGTGGGGGCAATAACAGAAGTGGAAGCTAAAAGAGCACCAGTCTCAATTACAAATTTTTTTTTATTTCATTAATACTCCGTAAAACTATTTTTAGAATAAATACTTTTATTTGAAGAGTAGTGTTTGGAAAATTACCTTCCGGCATATGTTCTTCCGGTTCCAGTGGACAACTTTTCCATCCGGATAGACAATATGAACAACTATCTGAATTTGTATAATGCCACTGAATAGAGTAAGAGCTCACGTAAAAAGTTACAACGAGATGTAAGGTTCTTGTATGTAAACACTGTACACCTGTCGGCATCTTTACACCGGCATAACCAGTAGGAGAAAAGAACAGGTTCCAATGTATCGTAAAGACGGTAATAAGT